TTATTAAAAAATTATACGATCAACATTTATTTTGTAGTAAGTATAATTTATCATTAAAGGTTTTTTAACAAGATGTATATTTTTAAGAAAATTAAATAAATAAAATAGTCAGTAAGGGTGGCATATATTATAAGCTAGCTTACAAGCTAAAAACTCTAAATCTAAACAAACAGGTTGATTCTTCATTTAGTTTTCTTAAAGCCAAAAGCCATTTTATACTGGTAAGCCCAGGTTGGAGAATTTTTTTTTATGTGAAGCGGGGAATGACTTCACCAATTAAACCTAATGCTTTAAACCCATAGGCTTATAAAATTTTTAAGCTTAAAATTAGCAAAGTATAAGCTAATAAACCTAATAATAAAAGGCCCTAAGAACCAGTGGTAGTATATTTTTAGAAAAGTCCCTTTGGGTCTCACCGTGCTGGCTGATGATGATCAGACCGAAGATGTTCGGTTTCCTAACACCATGCAGGCATGCACCAAAAGAAACGGAAGGAAATGGTTTAATATATCGTTAGGCAGTGCTAGCTTGACTAACCATTTTCCACACACATAAACCAACTGCAGAAAAACAGCAGCAAGTGGGGTCATCAGTAGTTTCTCCATCCTGCTGTCGTTGTCCCAACGAGGGGCTAGCTGCATCATCCAAAAACGAAAAAGAAGAGGATAAGAAAACCAAGCTGCATTCGCCAAGAAGGTAACAGTGTAACACTACTACCCTCAACGAGCGTTAATGTGATTCGTTTGAGATGACTCACTTTTAATAGGTAAAAAAAATATATCCCATTTAAAATACCCTAGTGATATTTAAAATATTCTTAGTATGGAATACCGTTTGTGATGTATGACTATGGTTAATATACCCTAGTGATATTAAAAATACATTTTAGTGTTTTTAGTGTATTTAAAATTCAAAACTCGTAAATTCTCATCGGTGAAGGTTCTTAATTAATTATAACCAGTCACGAATAAGTCATCGGTGAATGGTGTTCACCTGATATAGATAAGATTTTTTTCATCGGTAACCACTAATCCGTGATGAGGTTTTATCTGTAACATATATAGGTTGTCACCCGTTACGAACGAGGGGTTACGTTGCAGCGTAACAGGCGGATGATGCCAAAGTGGGGCATAAGTGGAGAGCGGGAGCAGCTAGCCAAGCCAGATATGGATTGAATCATAGAGGACAGAACGGATCGAGTACGTCCACTAAGCAGAGCGTGCAGAGAAACTGAGAAAGCGAACCCAAAGGTAGCTAGTTAGATCAGTTTGCGAGACATTTGTGCGTGGTGGAGCAAACGCACGTACTGGTCTTCGGGGGACTTGACCGTGAAAAAGAGGCAAATATGTACGGTCGGGGGTCACGCAATTGCCAATTGGAGATAAGTTAGGTTCATGACTCCAGTGGAATCCGGTTTAGATTTCACCAAATCCGAACTTTTCAGACCGGGCCAAAAGCACAAACCAATCGGTTTTCGATCAAGTTAAAAAAAAATCAAACTGAATTTTAAATTTTTGACAAATTTATCTGGATTTCATTGGTTTTTGTCAGGTTTTCGATAGATTTCAATCTGGCATCGGAATTGTGAACCCTGGTGAGATGACTCAACTGTAGACTTCTTTCCATGAACATTTAGATGCTTGCAAGAGTAAACACTTCCGTTGTAAGTAGACTTTACTCATGCATATGAAATTATGAACCAAGTAGAAACAAAGAAACGAAGAATATAAAGATGTTAGCATGGAAATACGGTTAGGCACTAGTAGGTCTTGATGTAATTATTTTCTACTCCAGAACACAAAACTGCGATGTCAGGTTGTGAGAGTCATCTATGGCTTTTTCAAGTTGGTACTGAGATACATGCACTCCCTTGTAGATAAGGGGGATGTGTTATAATCAAACTAATGTCATATTGAGTTCACAATTCTGATAATAACCCCATTTTTTAAACTTAATATGTAAGTAATGTCAAATCATTATTCCCACATCATTTTTTACATTATTTAAACATATACATTATTATTTTAATAATGTATAACATGTATTCACATATTTCGGAGTAAAGCGTAGGATATTAAATAGTTAATTTCTTATTTATATTTAGTGCTTAAGAACACCAAGTAGAGTGCCTCATAGTCGCCCACCAGGCCCACTCACCTTCCCTCATCTCTCCCACTTATCTGCTGATGTAAAAAGAAAAAAAAAATCTGAACACTGGTTCTCACTAGGCTCTCCAATTGGCCCATCCCCTTCCTCCCCCACTCTCTCATCCTAATAAAAAAATAATTCTCCTCTCTGGTATATCGTTCTTAAATAATTATCTTAGCAACCAATTTACATAACCATTTGTTTTCTAAATAACTAGGTTTACTCTCGTGATGAAAAACAATATTCTTATAACTCTGGACTTAAAAAACTTATACCCTCCATCACCACATTTATTTAAGGATTCTAGTTTGTTTTAGAAAAAAACTAATGATAGAAAAAATAATTAAGTCGCCCTTATTAATGTATTAAATAGAACTGGAGGTACCTAATGGGATAAATAGTACTCCTTAATCCATTATATTTGACATAAATTTTGAATGTCCCAATCCTTTACATCTACGTATGGAAAGAGTAACTTAGTAATTTATTTACCCGAATATTGGTTCTCTCAGTAGATCCTCCCTACCATCCAAATGCAAAAAAAATATTTAGTCTCAAGCTATTTTGGCATTAAAAACTGGTGTCAGGCGCCCAATGGGGGTTGGAAAAAACGGGCGCCCACGTTAGCATGACATCAACATGCAAACTACTTTAAACTATTTTTTCTCTTAAATTATTTATCCAAATCATGATCCGATTGCACTATTAAATTTGTTGCAATTAAATCTTTAAAACAAGACCACACATGTATATATTCTGATGAAAAAGAAGCTTATTATTGAATTATTTTTAAATGTTGCACGCTGTTCCACCAAGTATATCGGAATTGTTTACTAAGTAGATCGAAAATGTTTCAATCGTTTAAATCTGACGCTGTTTCACCTTATATAAAATCAATGTTTCAGCAAATAGTGAAAGAATGTTTCAATTCACTGCAACATTTGATCCATACATAGTGAAACATTATAAATACACTAGGTGAAACATTTTTGGTGGAACAACAAATGAAACGAATTCCCTTAATAAAGGGTTTCCATAATATGTGGCTGATTTGTTGCAACAAAATGTTTCAATTCACTGCAACATTTGATCTATACATAATGAAACATTGTGAGTGCACTAGGTAAATCATTTTTGGTGGAACAACAAATGAAACAAATTCCCTTAATAGAGGCTTAATAGAGGGTTTCTAAAATATGTGGGTGATTTGTTGCAACGGAGTATATGGTGGAGACACATGGAAGTTGGTGGCACGGACACGTGGTGGGGCCCAGGAGCACGTGCACGTCTGGGGAGAGCACCCGATTTTGCTCTCCCCCCGCCGGTCGCCCGAGGTAAGAGGATTCTCGTTAAAAACTATGTCAGTAATGTATTAAACTGAATTGGTTGTCTTGCTAGAATCTTAGTAAAAATGGTACACTACTAATAGCTTATTTCACACGATAATAACTCTTCTTTACAATAATATTAAAATAGAGTTTCTATGATAATATTTTTTTTATACCAGATGGGGTGAAAGTAATTTTTTTTAATCATAAGAAGAGGGAGTAGGGGGATGGTTAATTTACCTAATGTAAACAATATGTTGATCTCTTATAAACATGTACATTTTGGCAGTGGCGATCCTAGGTACATTTTCCCGGTGTCCTCAGACCCCGGATAAATTATTCAATTCTAACTAAATTATATGATGATAACTACTATATAAGTAAAAATTAGATAATTATTACGCATTGGACCCCTGGTAATTTTTGTTCTAGGTTCGCCACTGCATTTTGGCAGGATTAAAAATATACTAATAGAAATCGAAGGGCAATCAAGATAAACAGAAAAGCAAAATTGCTCTGTTATAAGCTGTGAAAATTTGAGGGGGAAAAAGATGTAGCTAATTAAATTGTGGAAACCCCCATATATCGTTTCGACTTGTGTCAATGTCTACGGGCGTCGCTAATGGGTGGGTGATCGCTGTGGGTGATCACCCCCCATCTCCCCCTGACACGCTCCTCTCCCCCTTCCTCCTCTCCTTCTTTTCCTACTACACCATAAATTTTTAAAAAATAAAAAAACAAAGTTAAAAAAATTTATGTATAGAAATACTATATATAAAAAATATTTGAATTCAAATTTAAATTTGAATCGGGTATATAAACTTTTGACTTATAAACTTTGGTTCTATAAACTTGAGATGTATAAACTTTAGATGTATAGAAAATACTATATATAAAAAATATTTGAATTCAAATTCAATTTTGAATCGGATATATAAATTTGAATTAGGTATATAAACTTTTGACTTATAAACTTTGGGTCTATAAACTTGAGGTGTATAAACTTTAGATGTATAGAAAATACTATATATAAAAAATATTTGAATTCAAATTCAAATTTGAATCGGATATATAAACTTTTGAGTTATAAACTTTAGATCTCTAAACTTTAGATGTGTAAACTTGAGATGTACAAACTTTAGATGTATAAATTTACTAAAATAGGAAAATAAAGTAATACGGTGCCAAAGAAAAAAACCACGTGGAGGAGAGGTGAGCGATCACCCATTAGGAATCTCGAATGTCTACAGTCTACGTACGCTGCATTCATCCATGATCCATCCGGAGAGGAAAATGACAAATCAACAGTCATGCTAGGAGTGCTGTGGTTATCTCACCACATCTTTTGGTTGCTACTCCACTTGCTATAATCGTGCCATGCCAAAAAAAATAAAATAAAATCCTTGGTCGACCTAGCCCGGCCCAGTTGCAAATTAACCTGTATCTCTAGTTCTCTACACAGACTACACAAGGCCACTAGGTCGCAGGCACGGGACGGGACGCATGCACATCCAGAAACGAAATCACGAGTCCATGTCTCCATGAGCCTTGTTGCTCGCTATAAATTCCCATCGCGCTCGCGTCTTCCAGTATAGTCGTCGTCATATTTTACCCTGCTTTCCTCTGCCACTCGATCGCCACGGCTCGCAGGACAAGAGGCCATATGGCGCTCGCTCTCGCTCACCTCATCCTTGCCGCCGCATTGCCGCTGCTCTTCCTCTCACGTGCAGGTAAACGGTGTAGTTGCAGCTCTGTATCAACGGCAGTGTGGTGCGTTGTTTTTTTTTGTTTTTCTTTGCTTATAATATATCGACGTGTAATTCTTTTGCGTGTTCGCGAAAAATGTTTTTCTTGCACTGCAGATGGGGGCGAGGTGGGCGTGTGCTACGGGAGGGATGGGAATAATCTGATAGATCCACCGTCCGTGGTTAGCCTTCTCAAGGCAAAGGGTATCACCATGGTGAGGATCTACGACGCCGACCCGACCGTGCTAAACGCGCTGGCCAACCAAAACATCAAGGTGATGGTGGCGATGTCCAATAGAGATCTAGTAGCTGGCTCCGCCAAGGATTTCAATAGTGCGCTCAGTTGGGTGAAAAACTACGTGTTGCCGTACTACCGTTCCTCACAAATTAACGGCGTGGCCGTGGGGAACGAGGTGTTTCAGCAAGCACCTGACCTGACCTCACAGCTGGTATCGGCCATGAGGAATGTGCAGGCGGCGCTGGCGAGGCTGGGCCTCGCCGACGCAATAAAGGTATCAACACCCATTAGTTTTGATTCAGTCAAGGTGTCATTCCCGCCATCCGCAGGTGTGTTCCAAGATAACATCGCCCAGTCGGTGATGAGTCCCATGATCGACTTCTTGCAACAAACCAACTCCTATCTCATGGTTAATTTCTACCCATATATTGCCTGGGCTAATTCTAATGGCCAAATCTCTCGTGATTATGCTGTATTTGGCCCCAACGCCTCTCCTGTGGTCGATCAAGCAAGTGGCATCACATACCATAGCCTCTTTGATGCTCAGCTAGATGCTGTTTACTTCGCTATAGACCATGTTTCAGGTGGTAGTGTGAGAGTCTCAATGGCCCAAGCAAGACGGGGGCGCCCGTCTCCAAGGATACCCGTGAAATGTTCAGAATGTGGGCATCCCTCTGGTGGTCGGCTCCCTCAGTTGTCCACACTAGATGATGTTCAAGTAGACGTGGCTACAAAAGCCAACGCCCAAGCTTTTAACAATGGTCTTATCAGTCGTGCACTATTCGGAGCCACCGGTATGCCTGATGTCTCCGTATACATCTTTGCTCTTTTCAACGAGAATTTGAAGGGCGGAGCATCTGTAGAACAAAACTTTGGCTTATTCTACCCAGACGGGACGGAGGTTTACCAAGTTGACTTTCACAATGGTGGTGGTGGTAATGTTTGCCCTACAAAAGCAAGTTGGTGTGTGGCAAATTCAGCAGTTGGGAGCACCCGGCTGCAAGCAGCGTTGGATTGGGCTTGCAGTAATGGTGCAGATTGTGGTGCTATCCAACCAGGCAAGACATGCTTTGCACCAAACACCTTGGTCGCACACGCATCTTACGCGTTTAATGACTACTACCAACGTAAGAGCCAAGCTAGCGGTACATGTGACTTCTCTGGTGCTGCTTTTATTGTCTACAAGCCTTCACCAAGTTAGTTTCCTCTCCATCCTTATTAAGTTTTCAGGATACTGTTTCTACATCTATGCATCCATTTCTTATTCGCTATTTGTTAACCAAAATGTATAAAGGTATCTGCGACCCGAACCCAAGCTGGTGCATTGCGAAACCGGAGGTTGGGGACACACGTTTGCAGAATGCGCTAGACTATGCATGCGGTAGCTGCGCAGATTGCAGCGCTATCCAGCGTGGTGCGCAATGCTTTGACCCTGACACCAAGGTAGCGCATGCAACCTATGCATTCAACGACTATTATCAGACTACCGGTCGTGCCAGTGGGTCATGTGATTTTAACGGCGCTGCTACCATTGTCACACAACAACCAAGTGAGTTCACGTTCATTTTAGAATGCGTTCAATTAATATATCTCATACCACTTAAATCACATCCTTGCCTGAACAATAATTGAACGCTTTCATTTCATGAGCAGTAAATGGTTTTCACCGGTGCTCATTTAATCATATTTTGCAGAGATTGGAAACTGCGTACTCTCACCAAACAACTCTTGAATGTACAGAAGACTCGGCAGTAAGAGGATGGGATTGAAGAATAAGTCCATATTCTCTAAGAAAGGAATAAGTCCATATTATGGTCAAATAAAAATAAGGACGACATTGTATGTATTCCGGTTTGGAATTTTAAGTAAGTAATAAATGTATCGTTCACTCGTGTTGAAATGAATAAGAAACTTAATTACTCTATGAAATTCCCAGTTAAACATTAATTCCAGAGAGATACATGTACATGAAACTCCTACGTGGCTTGTTCGCTTAATCCGAGAGAGAGAGAGTGAGGGGGATTGGAGGGAATTAAGAGGGAATAATCCCACACCATAATAGTTATGGAATAAATCCCCTCGATCCCTTTGTGGGAGGGGTTAATCAAACAAGGTCTCAACATTAACAGCAAGTATGCAATGCAAATGCACTGACGACATTGTTCAAGGCGTTTCCTCATCAAAGTTTTAGAAAAGATTTAATGGCCCTCGAAAGGTGCGGTACTACAAATGTAAATTTGGTACTATAGTATCTCTCAGTTCCAAGAGGATACCCTCCTGCTACAGTCTTAAGGCCCCTTTAGAATTTCTCAAGTTGTATTATCCCACTGGGCCATACATTTGACAGCATATTACATCATGTAAAAAAGAATTAACAGTATATCAAGATCTCGGGATCAAAAACCTTGATCTCCCTTTTCTATAATGAAAGAAAATATTTAAATGTTGATGAGTTGGTGCTGAGGTACTATATATAATTATTTTTGCGTGGATAGACACCTATGTGCATTTGTATGATATCACATAAAAGGACATGTTCGGCTGCGAAACATACATACGGTGCGGCAATCACAAAGACAGCAGCTGTAGAGCTGGCCTGCCAAACAGGCCCAAAATTTGATGATCAGAAAATATTAAGTCTCCCCTTTTGACTTGAGAAAATGATGGCATTTGGCTTGTATAGCTAGGCATGGCAGCGCCAATGACTCTAGTGGACTGAACGATAGATATTTATGTGAACGAAATTAAAGCTAGGAGTATGAAAATAAACAGGCACTAGCGCATACGGGTCAGGCATATATATGCACTATAAAAGAGAAGAAAACGGTACAGTGGAATGGAGATATTGTTAGTTGTTACTTGACCTTGTATCTGCGCCTTTTCCACACGAGTAGACAAAATGTGGAAAATAGCATTTGACCCCGAGGAAGACCTGCATATATATGCCGAATGCATTGCAGCAACGTGAGGATCCACACAACATACAAGTTGGGCAGCAATAAACCAGAGAAGGTATAGAAAAAACAGCTTATAAAAATGATTATATTCTAAGACGGAGGGAGTACTTCAGAACAATTCAAATGAAAACTTTATCAACTACAAAGGTTTATATCTCAGAGTTCTACAAGTTTTATATTGGAAATATCTCCCTCCAAGGTCGGATGAATTTTTCAAAGTTTCGTTTTTAAAAAATAGATCACACCTTATAATGTATATTCAGACATGTAAACAATCTCTCATAAAGATATTATCAATATTAACGTTGTAGATCTGGTTGAGCTCCACAACTTTGATATACGGCATATCTCCATCCATGGTCATTAGAAAATTTTGAATTTTTGTTTTCTTTTAAAATATTTCCTCATTCCAAAAAGAATTCAATCCTAGTGATGAATCTGAACATATATATAGTGTAGGTTCAGATTTATTTTTAGGGTTGGGTATTTTATGGGATTGAGGAAGTCGATCTCATCACCTATATCATATTAGGGTATGTATAAACAATCTCAAATGACAATTATTATCAGTTATAAAGTTGTAGATATCATTGAGGTACTAAGATCAATATGTAACGGTTGTTGCACTAGTGCCAGGGGCGGAGCTAGAGTCATCAGGGGGTTCCCAAGAATCCGGTGAAAAAAAATTGTAACTAAACCTTACCTATTATGATCATGTGTGCGCTCCTCTCAATATAAATTTAGGAACCCGTATCAACTTAAACTTGATATAAAGTAGAGTAAATTAAACAAATGACACTCCTCCATTTTATTCTAGCTCCACCCAGTGCAGAGGTACTAGGATTATTAATCATGGACAGACACCTGCGTGCGCCTTGTATAATAGTATTGCACAAATTTTGGTATTGATAATAGCAAAATATAAGTCTCCCCGTTGACTCGAGAAAATGTCGGCCGTTTGGCTTGTATAGCTAAGCATGGCAACCTACTCTAGTGGACTACCGAACAAAATATTTATGTGAACGAAATTATAGCGCATACGGCATACGAACCATATGCACTATAAAAGAGAGGAAAACAGTACAGTGGAATGGAGATATTGTTACTAGTTGTCACTTGGCCTATACTACACCTTTTCCACGTACGCGAGTAGACGAATTTGTGGAAAATAGCAAATACGACTACGAGTAAGTTTCTTCTTCCAAGTCGCGGCCTTTGACCCGAGAAAGACCTGCATATGTATACATGATGCATGCATATTGCAGCAACGTGTGGAACGATACAACCTACAAGTTGTGCAGTGTGAGCCAGAGAAGGTACAGAAAAACAGCTGCCCTCTTGGGTTACATAATTCTTGAAAAACATCTACTAACGTTTTGTACAATCACAGAGTCTTCCAAAATATATCTTTAGCTATATTCTTCTATCATAATATATATAATAAATATATTTTTTTACTTTTGTTATAATACTTGGTAAGACACATCTATATATGTTATTCCAGTGTCTTTAAACTAAATATTTTTAAAGTTATTGATTGTCAAAATTACAAAAATAATGATCTCAATCTTGTTTAAAACATAAAGAATTATGGGACCGAAGGGAGAGTATACCGACAACTCAAACGTGCATTTAGGTTCGATGATTGAATAATTTTTACCATTCAACATTTGGTATCTTGAGATACTTTTTATTATAAAATTTGATATTTTTAGTGTAAAATTTGACACCTCAAGATACCTACCTAATACATCGAGGGATCAAATTTTTGCATGCAAAATGTGGTAATAGGATTAAATTGGTTGGTTTGCGTTGTGGCTTATCCAAACCAAATCCCGCGGCTCTCTCTCCAGTGTGTCGATCTGCCTCGTGGAATACGACGCTACACCAAGTGGGCACATATTTACGCAGACATGCATGTATCATAGGTTCTATTTGAGAAATTTTGCTGAGATTCAGATAAGTTGAATGTCAGTTGTGGTACAATATTAACTGGATGATATCTGCCGTGCTTCAACCGCACTATTTTTTCATAAATCTTTTTATCGGTATAGTTTAAAAAAGTTTCCAAGCTATTTGTCAGCATTATTTTCTCCGGTCCTGTAATTCTTAACGTTTTGGACAACGTTGAGATCAAACTTATAACTTTGACTATCAATAATTTTAAAAATATTTAGTTTAAAAACAGTAAAAGAACACGTATAGATTTATATATACTTCCTCCGTTTCATATTATAAGACTTTATAATTGCCCATATTCATATAGATGTTAATGAATCTAGACATTACGAATGTAGACAATGCTAGAAAGTATTATAATATGAAACGGAGGAAGTATTACAAAATACAATAATAAAAGTAAAAAAGTATTTATTTATTGCATACTCCCTTCGTCCCAAAATATAAGCATTTTTAGTTATGAATCTGGACAACTGTATATCCAGATTCATAACTAAAAATTATTATATTTTGGGAGAGAGGTAATATATTATAATAAAAAAATATAGTCAAAGATATATTTTGAAGACCGTGTCAATGCCCAAAATATCAAGAATTATGGAATTGGGGGGAGTAAACTATATAATATTTAATTCATCTTTGTAGATAATTTTCTATATAATTTTTATCATTATTTAGAAAGGAGATAGACTTAATTTGTTTAAAAAATATGTCTAACATATTAAGTGTAACTTAAAAGTAAAGTGTTTTTAATGAAATGTTTAGATGCTCTCTTTTTAACATATCATGAAAAACTATTATTGCTAATACATATATTTTGTCAGTATATCAAGGTAGCTCTCCTTCTAATTGATTCACGTTAATACAGTTCGTTACATACTTACATATGAATTAATAAAGACAACGAAGATATATGATCCCTTCTATATGCGTTATCTATAGTTCTTTTTTTTAAAAAAAAAACTAGTCAACATGGGTTCTAAAATTTAATTTAAGAGTAATAAATATAACTTTTAAACCAATTATGTAATGCTACGTTAGTGTGGCTTATATATGCAATAATATATAGAGAAACTAAAAAATACCACGGTATGAATAGATGAAAGGCCATTAATATCTAATCACTTAAAAATGGTTATGACAATGGAAAACATAATGATCTTTTGAAAAGTAAGAACCAATTCTTTTTAACGAATTTATTAGATTTTCTCCGTATAGCTCAACTTAGTCTCCGTTGACATGTTCTATTTTATACAAGTCTTATTTTAAGTTTAAAAATATATGTATTATGGATGTTGAACTATTGGTTTAATATATTATAAATAGAGCAACATGTAGATTATAAATCAGATGTGTAGTTTACAAATTACAGTCGTTTTAATATTATTAATGGTTTCGCTTTTAGTTTGCGGAAAGAGTGAAGGTTCAATAGAAACAGGCAGAGGGAGGTGTGGAGAGCGGAGAACCCGAACCAAAAGAAGAGGGGGGCGCGTGTAATGTTGTGCATTGGGGCATTGGGAAGATTGGAGAGGGGGAAGTGAAGGGGACCTTTATTTTTCTGATTTTTCAGAACGATTTAGGTGAAAAGCGATAATCAGATGTGTCCATGTTTATATTGGTAATATTAATTAAAATATGGGCTAATTGTCGTTATTCTACAGCACGTAATTGGCGGTCATGTTCTGTTCTGATATTTACATGGAATATAAGTCTTCCCTAAACCGGAGAAAATGATGGTCGTTGGCATTATGTACATATAGACGGCGGTTGCGCCTCCTCCACCGGACTGGATATTTCTGTGAATGAGACGCATGCATATGGAAAAACAATGGATCAATCCATGCACCACCAGTAAGAGATGGAAATATTAGAATGGCAGTCCTACTGTTAGGCGCTTTAAGTTGACTTGTCTTAGGGCAAGTACAAAAGGTAGAGACCGATATAGTCTCTATGTTAATTAGAGGCTATCACGTTACAATAGTTAAGAGAATACGGTCTCTAACCATTAATGTACCAAAATATTTTCTTACT